TGTGCTGCATCCCGGTCTATCCCTTTCGTGGATATGGGGCCCTCGGAACTGTACGCAGCACTCCGGCTGCGGCCTCGGAGTACAGTTAAACCTCCCCGCTTTTGCGCGCAGCTCCCTCCCGAAAGGAACGCCGAGTTGTTGTCCCCCCCAACTCCTCCTCCGTTTACACCTCTCTGCTCTTCCCTCCTACAGATACAGAGCTATTATCACCAAAGCAATTGGAAAGGGGACATGAACAGCCTGGTGCCCTCCAACAACTCTCAGGTACAGATGCCCGCTCCCTCACATCCTTGCCCCCCCCCCCCCCCTTTATTAGCAGGTAGGACGGGCACACCTTTTCCACTCAAACCTAGCTGAACCCAACGTTGGGATGGCGCGTGTGGCGGGGGTTTGGGTGGGCCTCCGCTACCCTTAGTCCTTTTGGGGAGGGGGGGCAGTGGGCGGGTTGGGGGATCCTTGCTAAGTCACTGCAGGGCGTTTGGTAGAGGGAGGGGATGTTGAAGGTAGGTTGGGGGGGTTGGGGGCAGAGTGTTGATCGGGCTTGGTGGGGGGGGGGGGGGGGGAACGGGGCCATGCTTTGTCCTTGGACCTTCCCGAGTGTTGTCGGAGCTGCCCCCCCCCCCCTTTCCAGGGGCAAGTGGGGAGTATTCCCTCCCCCCTTCCTGCCTTGTGGATGGTGGGAGAGGCTTTGGGGTGGGGCGAGTCAGGACGGGAGTTACTCGCTGCAGGATTCCCAGCCTCTGACCCGCTCCCTGTAGCCACAGGATTGATATGGGGCTGGGGTCCCGGGTCAGTTTCTGCTCAATGGGGACCCCTAGGATGTTGGTAGTGGGGGGTGGGGTGTGGATTCAGTGATGGGAACACCATTGAACATCAAGATGGGGGGGGTTAGATTCTCTCTTGTTGGAGATGGGCGTTGCCTGGCGTTTGTGCAGCGTGAATGGGGGTGCGGAGGGCAGGTATCTGCTCAGCGTTTACAGCCTGGAGACTCTCCCTCACCATCAAACACCAAACTCTCTCTCGCCCTTTCCCCGCAGATCTGCAAAGTCTCGGCGTGCCACATCTTCACCTTCCAGCTGCAACAGCTGAGGTACAGGAGTTCAGCTGTCTTTTCAGTGACTGGGGCGATGACGTGGTCCGACCCCACTCAGGTCAGAGCCCAAGTCGCGCTGAGCGCCCTCTCGCTTCAAACGTCAGGCGAGAGTATTCAGGCAGTCAGCGCCACGCTGTCAGTGGGTCAGCGCCGAGGGAGCGGGCGCTGTCGGAGGGTCAGCGCCGAGGGAGCGGGC